CCTCGTGAGCCCCCTCCTCTCTAATCTCCTGGTAGTATCCTAATTCAGGGCCTCATAGCAACCTATCATCTGCATGGCTATAATAACTAGCCTAATAACTGGTCCCTGCATTTAGCCTCTCCCTACCCCAACATAACTTAAATACTTCTGCCAGATTAGTTTTCCTAATGAACAACTCTGATTTTTCATCCCCTTGCGCAAACACCTTACATAAAGTCTAGACTCCCCAGCCTACCATTTAAAAGCAGGATCTAGCCACAAACTATGTTTAAAATCAGATTTTCCTCTACTTTTTCACAGCTATTTTTTCCTTTGTTTTAACTCACATTCTTCTCCCCTCCCTAATTTCGTGCTTTCCTGCCTCGGAAATGGCCTTTCCTTCCTTCTCTGCTGTTGCAGATTCTACACTTCCTTCAAGGCTCAAGGTCTAGCTCAGTGCCACATCCTCTGCAAAGCCTTTTCTTAATGTCTCATTTGGAAGTAACTGCTTCCACCTTCAAAGTACTCTGGAGGACATTTTGAAAAAGCCTCTTTCTCAACTTTCTTCTGTTTCTTATTTTCTTCACCAACTCCTTAAGAAGACGATCCAACTCTTATTTGCTTTTGTATTCTCTAATTGAATAGCACTCTGATAGTGCAAAATAGCACAGCAATATTTGCATGCTGGTCAACTAAATAAATAGTTGAAGAAATAAATACGTGTATATCCAACAAATAAGAGACAACATCGCATCAGTTTTATGTAAAAGAAGACATGATCTAACACATAGAAAAATACTGTACTTGATACTGTAGCTAGACATCAGCAAAAAACAAGTACATTGAAAAGGAATAAATATTTATACGTAGGTAAAAGTATGAAAGAATCTTTTCTAAGAAAGATCTCAGAGTATTTACTTTAACCAATATATTCTATTGTAAAGCATGTGCATAGTTTTTAACGACCAAATATGCCCAATTCTTTCATTTTCACTTTATTTATTACTAATACTAGGAAATGCTGATGATTTGGCTCTAGAAAGTTGAAATAACATTTGAAACACCATCAGTTTTAAATATGGTCAAAGTGAACCCAGAATCTGGTAATTCATTTCCTGAAAAATAGTGTTAAAGTCGGTGTTTCACTATGAACCTTGGAAATCATCATAAAATTCATTTTTTTTCATGTGTGCCTAGTGAAGTGCTTGGCACATAAACACTCACCAAATATTAAATGAATCAATCAATAAATCAACAAGAGTGCTGATAGGAGTGTAGCTACTACCCTCTGAGTGATAATCCTGCACCAATACATTGAGCTGATAAACAGTTGCACAAAAACAGGTGCTCAGTAAATTTTTGTTGAGTTTAATTCATATAATTTTAGAACTGGCCAGTCACAGTGGTTCATGCCTCTAATCCCAGCACTTTGGGAGGCTGAAGCAGGAGAATCACTTGAAGCCCCGAGTTCAAGACCAGCCTGGGCAATATAGTGAGACCTCCTTCTCTAATTTTAAAAATAGATAGATAGATAGATAGATAGATAGATAGATAGATATCATGTACATAGAGATTCATAAATACATATAAATATTAAAATATATATTTGAATGTATATATTTATATATTTATATATTAAATATATAAATATATAAAATATATAAATATATAGGATGTATCTATCTCTGTATTTTTTAATATATACAGAGTTCAAGACAATTTATGAATATATTCATAAATACATATGGATATACCTCTGCTATACAATATTTTAATATATAAATAGGTTTAAATATATAAATATATGAATATATAAAAATATATATTAAAATATACAGATAGATACATATGTACATATGTATATCTATGTATATATTTTAGAGCTATCTAGATATTTAGATAGCTCTAAAATATATACATAGATATAGGTACACATAGATATGTATATATATCTATCACTATACAATTTAATATATATTTACATTTATATATTCATATATGTATATATTTAAATATATTTATATATTAGAATATTGGATAGCAGAGGTATATTCATAGATATTTATGAATATATATCCATTTAAATCTATCTAAATATGTATCTATCTAATATATATACATAGATATACATATATAGATATATATCTGTAGATATATACATATATATCTATAGTTATTTAATTTTAGAGCTGGAGAGGACCTTAGAGATGATATACCTTCTGGTTATTGCTCTCTCCTCTATGAGTACACAGAGCTTTTTGCATATGCTTATTGAAGCACAGGTACTAGCAAGTACTTAGTTTTCTTCAAGTTAAGTCCTTCAAGACAAAGATGTTGTGATGCTCTTCCCCACCTAGCCAGATGCTTGCTTGGCAGATTGTAGGCACTTGAATGCTTGCTAAGTGAGTGAATGAGAGTGAGTCTAGACCTCTGCTATCCAATATAGCCATTAGCCACATGTGGCTATTTAAATTAATTAGAATTAAACAAAATTTTAAATTCAGTTATTTAGTCACACCTATTGCATTTCAAGTGTTCAGTCACTACATGTGGCTAGTGACTACTATATTGGACAGAGCAGAGAATATTCCATTATTACAGAAAGTTCTATTGGACAGTGTTGATCTAGACTATTTCTCTCACTTTGCAGAACAGAATGAGCTCAGGGAAGTTGTCACTTGCTCAAAATTAAACCATCAGAAGCAGAACTGAGATTAAAACTGGGAACTCCTAGATCAATATCCACTGTTGTTGAGTCATACCTCTGATTCATTTCAGAATTCTAACTGTATGTAGCCTTAACTTAAAGCTCCATATGAGCTTATGGTATGATACTAGGGAAAACATCGTCTTTGTCTTATGATTGTCATAGAAGCGATTTTATTTTTGTATTTTACTTGATCAATTTGCATGTTTGATAAAAATATACATAACAGGTATAAAAATGTACCTGGAACTTCTGTACCTCAGGTATAAAAAGAAAAAAAGAATGTTAATTTTGAAAATACTTTCCAGGTATCTAGCTAAATAAAATATTATAGTATTCTGGTCTTGTGACAATTTACTTAGAAAATGCATAGCATAGGCTCTGGTTGAATGTGCTTTTTGCTTGGGTTTTTTAAAAGCATTCCTCTTTGGTTTATTAATTTTTGAAAATTATTTGGATCCAAATCAACAGGTTACTTTTTTCAAAAAACAAAGGGGATTTTTAAAAATTGAAAACAAAGGCCATATTTTAATACAACATCACCAGATATGTGAGTGCATACCAAAGAACTGCAAGAAAATTGGTCTTAAAAAAGAAAAAAGTACAATGACAGAAAACATAATTCAGTGCACCTCTAAGGAGATGGGAACCAGACTAACTGGAGAAAAACACACACCTCCCAACCATTTCCACATACACATATGTACAGGTTATATAAGAAAAGCAAATCAACAAATTACTAAGATTTTCCAGATTTGGAATTTAAGATGGGTTTGGTTTAAATTCTTAAAAGATTTTCGCAACTGTTTTAGAAAGTATCAGTATTTTCTAAAATGCTCTTTCTTAGAGAAAGAGCCTTATTTTCTACAACTTCCGTAAATGTGTGTTGTTATAAAATTAGTATTTAGTATTTCCCAGAAAGAGAAATCCAGTTCTGCCTGGTGGGACAGGAATAATTATATGAGGTCAGGAAGCGATCATCCCCATAGCTATCCTAACATTAGAATGTGAAGGAGGCAAGGAAGAGGGGGCAAAATTGGAGTTGAGATCACCTGCATGCTATCAGTCTAGGGTTCTTAGGGATATTACAATTGCTCAAAGAACACTTTTTGATCCACTCTAGATATGTCTTGACTGGAAAGAAGTTATTGAATAAATATTGTGGTTTCTGATAGAAAAGTATATAATCTTGTGTTACTTTTAAGAATTACAAAGGCAATTTGCCATCTTTCCATAGAAATTTGAAAATTAGATGAAAAAGAACTAGTTATGAAAGAGATCAAGTTTTAGAATTAAAGGAGGTGCCTCAGAAAGTATCTGGTTCTTTCCTTGAAAGCCTTTATTCTCCTGTCAGACAGACTAGTAATCAAGATGATAAAATGTCAGTACTTAGGTATCAATAGCATCCCTATTCAACCATAGGCCAAAGAGAGAAGTTTTTTTTGTTGTTGCTGCTGTTTTTTTTTTTAACTGTCATATTTCCTTTGATATAAACTAAAAAACTTTTTGCTTGCCTGGGAATGTAATTATTCAAGCTCCTATGTCATTCTCTGATAATCAATCCTCAACAACTCTAGTCGAGTTTGGTTTTAGGCAATGGAAAATTAAAGCAAGTTCTCGATTCAATTTTCTTAGAATATATGCATTTTTAAACAACCCAATATAGCAGTTTTTCCCAAAAATAAATGATGTATGGGGTAAAAAGTCATGGACTCCTGATGTTGATTTAAATTATTGTAATTATAATGTTACCTAAATGTATATTACACATAAAATTAAACATCTTATAACTTTTATATCATTATAAAACAATATAAATTTATAAATTAAATACAATGTAATGTCCTAAACATACGTTTCAAATTAACAATATTTGTTCACTTACTCAGAAAACATTTTTTTGAGGATCTACTCTTTTCTAGGCACACAGTATGTAATTCTAGCTGCTATAACAAACACATCCCAAATTTCAGTGGCTTAAAAGATTAAACGTTTAAGTGAATAAGCCAGTTACAGAAGGACAAATATTGTGTGATTCCATTCATAGAGACTCAAGGTAAAGGAGTGGTTTCCAGGGAATGGGGAGTTATTGTTAAATGGGTACAGAATCTCAGTTTTGCAAGATGAAAACAGTTCTGGAAAAGGGTGGTGGTGATGGTTGCACAACAGTGTGACTATACTTAATGCCACAGAAATGTGCACTTAAAAATGGTTAACATGGTCAATTTTATGTCATATGTATTTTTCCACAATCTTTTAAAATAGTAATGTTTAAAATCACACACAGCAAATTAAATGCTAATTTCTCACTTACCTCGCAGACCGATTTCCTGGTTATAAATTGCCAGTAGAGACCCAGGCAGGTAGAGGCTTCTCCATCTTCCACATCTGGCGTCCAGCATCATCCTTGACGTCAACATCCAGCTATCAGATGGGAGAAGAATGAAAGGGTCACATGTAAGAGGTTTTTATGGGCCAGGCCTGGAAGTTGCACACATTCTACTGGCTGGAAGTCAGTCTTGCAGCAGCACCTAATTGCAAGGGAGACTGGAAAAAATAGTGGAACTGTGTACTCAAGAAAACAGGTTTGGTGATGACCTAGTAATCTATGCCATAGTCCATCCATTTGATCTCCAAAAAAAGCCATTTCACTCTTCTTCCCAAATAAACAATACACTCATTATCGTCACCAAATGAGATAACCTAAAATCCACCCAGTCACTGCTTCAAGTTCAAAGTGCAGGATTTCCACATAATGCACAGAATTCTCTGTCAGATCTGAATATAATTCCACAATGTACTGTGACCCAGTTATTCTCAACTAAGAATGATTTTGTCCTCCAGGAGATATTAGGCAATGTTTGAAGATATTTTTGATTGACACAACTGGGAGTGAGGGGGATGATACTGGCAACTAATGGGTAGGGGCCAGGGAAACTGCTAAACCTTGTACAATACACAGGACAGCCCCACTGCAAAGAATTGTTTAACATTTCAATTAGAGCTGTGGCCTATTATCTGATAAAATATCTTCCCTCACTCACATCCAATATATAGTGATATAACAAATATAGTAAATACTTCCAGGTAGGAAAGGGGGAAAAGTGGGACCCTGGCCCATCACAAAAATGAAATTTTGCAGGGAGGCATTGTGATGGCTCTGAGCTGGCAGTGGCAGCTGTTTCTCAGCTAGACCCTGTTTCCATTCTCTGTGAGGAATCTGCTTATCTGTTGTCCTCTGTGGTCCCTGGCTCTGCCCTCTGGAAATTTTCCCTCTAAGCCCACATTTAAAATGAGTGTTGAGGAACGTGACTTTCTTGAGGGGAGTACAACTTTTAATGCTGGCTCACGATTTCTTTAGCAATACAGTACCTCAAAAACTGAAAAGTCTTTGATCTTTCTGCTTCCGGTCAGTTCCATATGCCAGCAACACTAAGGTTTCCTAGAGATAATTCTCAATCCTGATTATTTCTTTGCTTCTTCACTCCATGCCTCTCTTCCTTTCAATTTAAGGAGGCTACTTTGAGACCATCAAACTTAAATGTGAAGACCACACCCTAAATATAACCTTTGTTTCATGGCTGAGTCTTAATGGGTCCTTGTTGCTCAAGAGCTTTTTCAATCTTATTTCTTATTCTTTGAGGTATAGAGCAGTTAGTTTTTCCAATCCCTTGAGGCTCCAAGTTTCTGGACTGTCTATATTCCTTTTAATTTATGCTTCCAAACCTCCTAATTATTGCATGAGTTCATCTTATGTTTCCAATATCTTACTGAAAGCAGCCAATAAATATAACCTACTAACATTCCATTTTTCAACCTCTTATAGAACTAAGGGTTTTATAGGTATCTTACTTTCTTTCCAAATTATTGTAGGTATAAGGTTGATGGGAAAGCTTCCCTTCTGCCTTCTGAAGCTTTGCTGAAATGACTGACAATAGACAGATTAACAGGAGAAAAGGCATACAAATTTATTCGTGCACATGGACAGAGTAGTCCTGCAAATATGAGACTCAAAGAAAGACCAGAGGGTTGAGACTTAAATATCCTCTTTGTAGGGGATAGGTAAAGGGGGAGTGTACGAAATTTTAAGGTGTAGTAAATGCTTTTCAAGGAAATTGAATAAGCCTATAAGAACTGTCACACCTCTGGCAGCAAGCAGTCTATTCACTCTATTGTTTTACCTGAGAGTTAAAACACTTTGGATAGGTCTATAAATTCAGATCATTTCAAGAAACATGTATTGAATACCCACTAGGTACTGGGCTATTCAGAAAAGATACAAAGATGATCAGCAAACCACCCCTGCCTTTAAGAAACTTGCATTGTAAGTACTGGAGTAGATACTTAGACCTGCTGCCTCAACATTCATTCCACCATCCTATCTGAAGAAGTTGGAAAGCTGAAAATTACATTTCTCAGACTCCCTTGCCACTCAATTTTTGGGTGCAAATAAGGCCTGCCAAATAAATGTCCATATGAAAACACAGGTGCAAGTGAAGTGGAGGCTGTCTTCTTGCTGCTATGTCACTTGCAAGCAAGATGTGATGACATGTCTGTGGCATTCAGACTCCTCATAGTCTTAATGGGTGTGAGAGCCATTGGTGCTAGCAGCAGCAGTAGCAGTGTTCCAGTGTCAGCTTCCCATCCCAGCTACAGTGTATGTTAGTCAGAATAAACTAGCCTTATGCTGTAGTCACAAGCATCCTCCAAAATCTCAGTGGCTTAATATAATAAAAGTTTCTTTCTCACAGACAAAATGCTTCCTGCAGGTGTGGGCAGCTGCTCTCCATGTGCTGACTTAAGAGATTTGGGCTGTTTCAATCTTGTGGTTGCTACATCTTAACCCAAGGTCTCCTCTATAACTATTGAGGCAGGGAAGAGGTAGTCTAGAGAACTGCCCAAAGGCTTTTCACTGTCTCATCCTGGAAGTGACAACGTCACTTCTCGCATTTTATTGGCTAGAACTCATCACAAGGCCCCACCTAACTGCAAGGGAACTAGGAACTGTAAACTCCCATATGCTCAGAAGTCAAGGAGGACCAGATACTAGTGAATACTAGTAATGTTCACCACAAAGCATGTGACTTTGAATTCAACAGCCTGCTGACCTCAACTTCTCCAGCTCTTCCACAGATTTCAGAAGCAGTGAATTGCTTGGATGAAAGCCCTTTGTTTTTTGTTTTTTTGTTTTTAAATATCCAGAGTGGTTTCAGCTTCCTACAGTGAACCCTGCCTGTATCATTTGTGTGCTGGTGGCTTTCCGTCCCCTTACCTCCATCCATTCTCTACCTTTCAGTGCCCTACTTTTTGCCCCAGGAGTCTGTCCTCTATGAACAGCATGTTTTGGGCCCCTCTACCCTCTGGCCTTGCTTGGTTTTTGGATCACGGGAGGCACCACCAAGAGATCAGAAAGTAGGAGGTGAGAGAAATCAGGATATGTACCCTTCTTCCTTTCAGCTTCTCACCAGACTGTGGGTCCCTTACCCTGTCAACTCTGTGAAGAGTCCCTTCATTAAACTTTCCTCATTTAAACACATTGAACGTGATATCTGTTTCCTGCCTTGACTATGACTCCTATCAGGTGTTTAATAATAAACCATGAGTCTAAAAAAGAGTAACAGACTGTCTCCTATCTTCCATTTTATAAAGTAGAAGAGTTTTATAAAATGCAAATCTGAATATATCATTCCTCTACTTTAAAACTTCAATGGCTCTTTGTTAACCCCTGTCACTGTACCCGACTCTAAGTTGCAGCCAGACAGAACTAATTTCAGTTCCCTCTGCAACATGGTCTCCTTTCCTCTGAGCCTCTGCACAGGCACTACCTCCTTCCTGGAAACTGCTCCCCACCCATGCTCATTATTCAGGCCTCAGCTCAAAGGCCTGAATTCAGGCTTCAATTACCCCAGAAAGCATTCCATAAACCTACTACTTATCCCTGTTAGATGCTTTTATAGTCTCCCACAGCAGCCTCCATTCACCATCATACACAGAGAGCACTCAGTGTTACATTGTACTGCAACTGCCTGCTTACTTCTCTGTGTCCTCCAGTAGACCATGAGATCTAAGACAGGGACTGCATCTCAGATCCATAGGACCTATTAAGGTGCTTGGCACCTAATAGACACTCAATAAATATTGGATAGTTTTTGAATGTTATTGAAAAAGCTTGAACTGTCCTCCTCTGGTCACCATTCTCTCTCTTTTCATTCACTGACAAAAAAGTCAGAAAAATATAATTTTTATTTACCCACCTTACTTTGTCACTATCGTACTTTTCACTATCATCTTTTCACTTACTTTGTCACTTTTCATCTCACTTTGTCACTATCTTTTATGATGACTTCTCTTGCCAAGATTACCAACGACCTCCTAGACCTTCAATTCGGTAGCTTCTTTTCATTCCAAATCCTCTGGGACTGCTCTGCAGCACTCTCTTGAAATGATCCTCTATCCTGCATGGATCACGGATCGCCCACTCTCTCTCTCTCTCTCTCTCTCCCTCTCTCTCTCTCTCTCTCACACACACACACACACACACACACACACACACGCACACTTTAGTTGATCTGTTTGCATATCTCTGTTTTTCTCCATTCCTTTATAAGCTCCTATGTGTTATTCATTTGCATCTCTAGTAAACAGCATAGTGCCTGGCACACAACGGAACTTTGTAACTATGAATGTTACATGATTAAAACTCTCTGGGCTTCCAGGCCATCTCTTTCTTCATCTCCTTTTTCTCTTAACTGCTTGTTCTTATGCACCTTCACAACCTCCTCTTTGTCTACCCTTTAAATATTCTTCAGAGGAACTCATCCTTATCCACCTTTTGGGCTTCAGCTATCAGTGATTACCTCAATTTCCAAACGTATATTTTCAATTCCCAATGCATTTTTATGAGCTAAGGCTGCCTCTCTCTCTCTACATGTACTGCAAGCAAATCCCATAAAGACTCATTATCTCTTCCATTCCCAACCTGCCCTCCTCCTGCTTTCAATTTCAGTCAATGAAATTAACATTCATCCAGTGCTCTAAATGACAAACCTCAAAGTCCCCTAATGCATCTCACTGTCTTTGCTCCCTGTCCTGCAGGGTAAGAAGCTTTACCCATTACCAATCCCCACCCCCGAACCTGCCTCTGAGTCTTTTTGCCTCTGAGTCTTTATTTTTTTATTTCTTTCTCCTGGAACACCTTACCCCACTTTGTCCCAAATCATTTTCATCCTTTGAAATTCAAAAAACTGATTAATTTCAATCAATTGTTTCTCTGAGTTCTACATAACTTGGTGCTAGGTTTTGTTTTTTTTAATGACCTGTCTAAACATATCTTCCTCACTAGATTGTAAAATTCTTGAGGGCAGTTACTGGCTTTTGGTTATTGGGTCTAGCCAATGATTGACATTTTAGGCAATTTTTAAAATTTTTTATATGAATGAAGGAGTAAATGAGTAAACTGAGAAAGAAAATCTTTTCAATTAAACCCTTTCAGAGATTACTGTGACAGAATCTTAGTGAAAATGACAATAACTCAGTTTAAAAACATGAACATCACGTAACCAACTTTACAACATTCATTGTAACAATATATGCATGATTATAGAAGGCAGGTAATTGTTATTCATCTAGGGAGGTTTTTTGGGGTGTGTGTGTGTGTGTGTGTGTGTGTGTTTTAAGCCTGCCCTGATAATTTTGTTTTGTGTTTAAGACCGGGTCTCGTTCTGCTGCCCAAGCTAGAGTGCAGTGGTGCGATATTGGATGACTGCAAGCTCCGCTTCCCGGCTCAGGCTAACCTCCGTCCTCAGCCTCCCGAGTAGCTGGGACTACAGGCGCGCGACATCACGCCAGGTTCCCTGCAGAATTTGATTTTAAGCATTTCAGTTCTCAGTATAGACAGACAAATTTTTAAAGAGAAGGTATTATTTTAACTGCTTCTTTGCTCTTTTATCTTTTGTCCTGGGTGACAGGAACTAGCTAAGCTATACCCGAAAGAAAGTGCCTGCAGCAGTATGGTGCCTGGGCACTTGATAGGCCCTCAATACATCATTTTCCCTTTTCTTACCTTATCTTCCTTTTATATTTGAAGGCTCGTGAATTTAGAGTACCTAAAGGAAATTTTAGTTTTAGGATTTCAATTTGACCAAAACAACGCTGAGATTTTAATTGCCTCTATTAACCCATGACTCTCAACCCCAAAGGAAAGAAACCACTGGAGGGGGTGGGGGAGAAAGGAGGCGGTGCAAAAGCTCAAAAGAAAGCCGGAGAGGAAGCGGTAGAAGGAAGCTTTCTCTCTCGGGTTTGTCTTTTTTTAACCCCAGAAAGGCGTGACGTGCTAACTGCCGTCGCGGGTTAGAGTCCGCGGCCAAGCCCGCGCCCGCCCACAAAGTCCCCGCCCGTCCTCTTGCTTCCGCCCCGCCGTGCGCTGCAGGCCGCGGCCGCTGGGGGCGCCCCCGACCCCCGAGGCGCTGAGGCGGCGGTTCCTCGAGCCTCTCCTCTCCCGACTCCCAGACGGGAGGCGGCGGCGGCGGCGGCGAGCTGCGCACCGAAAGGGCGCTCACCTCTCCGGGCGAGCTGCAGTACGACCGCTCCCCGCGGGCGGTCGGGGTCCGCGCCGCAGCTGCCGCCGCGCTCCGGCCCAGGCTGCCGCGAGAGGCGGCGGCAGCGGCCCCGGCCGCGGCCGGCCTGCGGCGCCCCCCGGCCGCGCCCCCGCGCGCAGCTCGCGGCCCCGGCCATGGGGCTGGGCGGATCCAGGGCTCGGCCAAGCTGAGGCGGCGGCGCCCGGCCGTGCGCCCAGCTTGCAGGCGCCTGGCTCTCACGATGATGAAGAAGAAGAAGTTTAAGTTTAAGGTGGACTTCGAGCTCGAGGAGCTCTCCTCAGTGCCCTTCGTCAATGGGGTCCTCTTCTGCAAGATGCGGCTGCTGGACGGCGGCAGCTTCACCGCCGAGTCCTCCAGGTAACTCGCCTCCCGCGCCTCCTCGCCAGTGTCTGCTTGGCCAGGGCTTGTTGGATAGGCAGCATCTCTCCTTGGCCCATTTGCTCGCCTTTCCCTAGGGACCGCTCTGAAATCAGTCGAATTTATTGATCTGCAAAGTGCTTTGCAAATGGGTTCTTCTCAGCTGGCCTTGGCTCCTGCGCTCCTGACTCCAGATGGTGCCTGGTGTCTGCTCTTCCCTCCCAAATCCTCTAGAAATGAGAGCAATGGCCGGAGAGAGAGGATGCTTCTGGTTTCTCTTAAGACATGTCCATATTTGTGAAATGCAAAGTAGAACTTGAGCTGTTAAAAACAAAAATAACACAAACTGCTGGAGTTCCAAGAGCCCAGCTCTGAACAGAAACCTAGGCTTAGCACAATTCTTTCTCCCTTGTAGGTTACACGGGGACTTGGCCACCCAGTCTGAGACTGGGGTAGGCCTGGCCGGGCTTGACTTGAGTCAAGTGCTCCTGGCAGACGAAACAACAGTCTGTGCCTCATCAGAGAGCGGCGTCTCCAGTTAGACGCTAATGCTGGATGAATTAGTCTTGAAGTGGCCACTAGTGGATCTCCTTGTGGAGAGCTTAGAGCCAGACGGGTAGCCCAGGCCCAGCCCTCATTTTAAAATGAGCCCCTGGGCACTCCCAGAGAGAGGCATTAGCAGGTTACAGAATGAAGCTATTAAATAATAGGTGTGGCATTAATAATAGGTGTGGCAGTGTTTCTTGAATAATTTCAGAGCTACTCACAGGTTGACAGATGTACCCTAAGGTGCTTTCTTTAAATATGTATATAGAGAGAAAACAATTTTTTTAATGAACTTTGCAGTTCCTGAGATCAAGAAGGGTTAAAAGTTAATGTTTATTTTGCCCATATATACTGGTCTTAGACTTTATTTTTGCCCTAAAAATATTCTACTTAAAAAAAAATTCAGTCATCCCATTTATAATGTAAAGGAAATAATGTCACTGGATTGTGGAATTGGGGCCAGAAACTTGTCTTCTGGGGCCATATTGAAGGCTATGGAAGCCAGAAAATGTCTAGTTGGCTAAACCAAAGGATATATGAAATTAATAGTTTGCCGAAGACAGTTTTTAAAATTAAACTGTGGTGACACATCAGTAGATATTCAGCTAAGTATTTTAAACACCTGTTAGAGAAGAATGTAACCTATTTTGGTGCAAAAAAAAATATTGGACCGTCTCTTAGTTGTGAAAAAGCCTAAGCCAATTCGTGAAGGTCCTGTTGGTGCGGGTGACAGTCTTGCCCTGAGGCCTAGACTGTTTTTCTGCAGGATCCCACCCCCTATATCAGGCAGTTAGACTGGCGCTCCTGGGCCAGTAGTGACACCTGGTGGTCAGGGCATTTGTCTACCGGGCTTCCTTCCTACCTCAGTTATGTTAATTTGACTTACTTCCCACGAGTCAGTTATTCTTTCGTTGTAGGCAGTCATTTATTCAGCCAATATATGTTGGCTTCTAAATATATTATCCTATTTAATTCTCACAGCAAGTCTATAAGGTAGGGGTCCCATTTTGTAGATAAATAAACTGAGGCTCAGAAAGCATAACTCACTTTCCTAAGGTCACCTCAGCTGGTAAGTGCGATGCCAGATTCTGATCAGGTCTGTGTAACTTCAAACAGGGTGATGCCAGATAAAGGAGTAAATCGTGTGCGCCATATATGAAAGTTTCTGAATAGGGAGCTTCCTAATGACTTTAATGAGCAAGAAGTATACTCCGCAAGACTTAGAAATGAAAAAGTTGAGTATCTTGGGTTAAACTCACGCCTTTTTCTTCCAACTAAAATTTGACTTTGATCAATTTGATTTTAAGTAAGATTAGGAATAGTGCTCTGTATAGCCAAACCAAAAAGCCATATAGTGTGAGGGAAATGACTCATAATAAGGAGCCTGTGCCTTTGACATTAGGTAGAGATAGTTGGTGTAAAGCTAAGAGCAAGGGTTTGGAATGTGGTGGGTCTAAGCTTAAACCCCAGTTCCACAATGGTAAACCTGGATGGGTTACTTAGAGTCCCAAAACTTCTGTATGTGGAATGGAAACCATCACTGACATGTGGTGGTGTGAGGATTTAGTGAGATGATGTGCCCAAAACACCTAAACAGTGCTTTAGCATCCAGTTGGCACTTAAAGAGGAGACCAGGGACTTGTCCAAGAAGGTCCAATTGCTTTAGATGTTGTATTTGATTCCTTTATCCTAACAACTACAAAATTGTTGGTTTGAGAAGGAGGCCTTATATTACAAGAAAAAAAGAAAGAAAGAAAATCTGAAATATCTAAAGGAAGTGAATTATTTCAAAATCACAGAACTTTTAATTAGTGGGTGCCAGTCAAGGCAGTGCATCTCTAATTGAACGCTAGATTTTAACTTTTTAAAAATTGCTCTATGTGCCTCTTAAAAGTCACGTATAATTAACACTGTAACATTTCTCCTGTGAAGATATGAAATGAGTTACATAGAAAAGAGGTAACATAGCAGGCTCAAGACTACTATTCTTAGAAAGGCCTATGTTCGTGGCTGGCCCTTGGCTGGCATCTGGGAGCTTGAATGGTAAATGGTTCCATACATGATATAAAACTACCTAAATGATAAGAGTGGCTCACTATGCCTAGACTGTACAGAGTGGTTTATGCTAAATTCCGTCTGGAATTTTGGTTCTTGCCAGGCAGCCTGCATGACCGGCCCTAATACGAATTTTAGGCATTGAGTCTCTTGTGAGTTTCCCTGTTAGACAGCACATCACAATTGAATGCTAGGGAGATTAAGTGTGTGATGATTCGACTTTGTATCTTTACATTGTAGTAAATCTTAGCCATGAGTGGGACTGTATGCTGAGTCCTGTGAGTCCTAATGAATCACCAAATTCAGGATTAGTCTTGCAGACTCCCCGATGGATGAACCTATATAAAATAATACTCATCTTGCTACAGAAAAGCCTTAGAGGCACACAGAAAATTACATATATAGATATAGATATAAATAGACCCAAATATATATAGGTCATATACATTTGATATATATATTAATATATTTGGCTTTGTACAACAACTAAACATGCAGATCATTTATTGTTCACCAAATATTAGTTGAGCATTTACCAGGTTTCTATTTATGGCTCTCCATCTGGGATTGTGAGAAGTACAACAAATATGAGGATCCACAAGGGAATTACTTCTAATGAAATTAGATCATAGATGTATAATTGCTTGACAGTAGAAGACAGTGTGACTTAGTGCCCAATGAATGGATCAGACAATATATGAGTGTTGTTGAAATTCTAAAGCAAAAGAGTTTATTTACAACTGTAATGGTTACTAACAACCACATTGGTATTTCAGTGGAGCACGCTGGGAGGATGAATTTGCATTGACAAAGTGAGGGTGGGAGGACAGCTTGAGCAAGTCATTAATAAGAGTTGATGATAGATCAGCCTGATTGCAGAGCGTTCACGTTGGACAGAAGCAGAAGACCAGATTAGAGAAACACTTTGAATACCATTGTAAAGAGTTTCTTTCTACTCTCTCTACAAATGAGAGTTGCTTTCAGGGTAAAATTAAACCCAAGATTCTTGAACTGACTTGTGTGATTAAAGTGGTGTTTAACCTGGCTGATAGGCTGATGCTATTTGTATTCAAGGTTGGGTGGGGGGGAAATTAGAGATAGGGAGACAAATTAGGAAGCTATTAAAATAACCCAAGCAGGAGCTAATGAGAACCTGAACTCAAGAGTTGTCTCATGTAAGTGACTGATAAATGATTATATTATGACAGATGCCTTGATGCCACGACAGAAGTAAAGAAGTCAGGAAAATAATTTGTTTTGTTTAAGGGAAATATTGCATATGGTGGTGGAAGATATGGTGGGTTAAGTTGCATGCTTAGCACTCTACATTTGAGGTGACAGTGAGCCTGATGAGTAGTTGGAGGCATTTATTACGGTATGTGGATTTCTTAGATGTTGTCTATTGGAGCCATATAGGACTGCTTACTAAACTTATTTAGAATTTCCTTACATTGTTTTTACCCTTTTAAAGATTATTACTGAAAAAAGGCCAGGCATAGTGGCTCATGCCTGTAAATCCCAGCACTTTCGGAGGCCGAGGTGGGCAGATTCGTTGAGCTCAGGAGTTTGAGACCAGCCTGGACAACATGGTAAAACCCCATTTCTACAAAAAATATACCAAAAAATTAGCTAGATGTGGTGATGGGCACCTGTAGTGCCGGCTACTCAGGAGGCTGAGGTGGGAGGATCACTTGAACCCGGGAGGCAGAGGTTGCAGTAAGCCGAGATCACCGGCACTGCACTCCAGCCTGGGCAACAGAGTAAGACCCTATCTCAAAAATAAATAAATAAAAATAAAGATTATTAGTGAAAATTAATTTTAGAATCCAGTTTTTCTCAGTATTGTTTTCAATGCAGAGATTGGAAAAATATAAAGACTAAAAGGTAATTATTTGTGATAAATGTTGTTAAAATGATCAGGGTAAATTGTCAGATTTTTACATGCCATAGTTAATAAAATATTTGGAAAATACATTGTACAATTATAGTGGTCTATTCAACTGAGGCTAAATTGTTGCCTAATAAAATATAGTCATGTATCCCTTAACAATGAGGATCTGTTCTGAGGAGCGCATCCTTAGGCGATTTCATCATTGTGCAAAAGTCAGAGTGTACTTACACAAACCTAGATGGTATAGCCTACTACGTGCTTAGGCTATATCGTATAGCCTGTTGCTCTGCCCACGTTGTATATTTGGTCTGTTGTTGACCAAGATGTCCTCATGCAGTACATGACTGTATTTCTGAAGATGTTTCAAAAGGACAATATTATTTTATTTAAATATTTTCACAGTACTTCCTCTGCAAAAGCATTTAAATCACTTTTGAGGTTTATTAAAACTGTCAGGGCAGGTTTAATTGTGGCCTACTTAAAGGAATAATTGGAAGACATTTTTCCT